ATAGCCAAATCTGCCTGTAACATCGAGTCTCTTGAAATCTGTTGTACTTTTTATTCCAACATTTATCAAAAGACATGCATGGTGACGGTACACTCATGTTTTCAACTTATTTTCATGCCGCCACCAACGCAGAGGACATACGCACGGATAAACAATAGACACACTCAATTTCACCTAAGTCGATTGAGGAAAGTCGCGTAAAGTGCCTTAAATTTCCCAAGGACACCGTTGAAGATCGGTGCCATGGCAGGATTCGAACTCGGGACCTCCTGGTCCGAGCCGAACACAGCACCACGTGACTTGGTGTAGACCAATTATTTTAAAACAATGTTAAGGCATTGTTGTTTTTCCCTTTTTTCTTGCCTGAAATTTAGCTCTCATTCGAGAACCTTTAAGTCACCTGAAGTCGTGCATGAGGTTCTACAGTCTTCCTAAGCTACTGAAGATCACATCTACAAACCCCATCAAGACCTTCCTGGAGAACCCGTGGAAGTACAAAAACCTGTCTGAGGCCTACTTCAGCTTCTGTAATGTGACCTGGGACGGCACCAGAAACCACTTGGCTTTCGACTTGGGCTACCCTACTGAGGGAGCCGATGATATGGTACCGTATCATCATGAATTATTGTCATAAGAATGTCATAACGGTTTATAATCTTTTGTTAACATCAATAAACATCAATTAGTTTCATACCTCAATGTCAGTACATGAAAGATACAAATTTTGCATTATAGCAAGGATGAAAGGTCTTTACCATACGTTTATGCTCTCACAAGCTAAGTACGGGCCATGTTTAAAGTAAAGTAAAAAATAATAATAATAAATAACTAGTTGTATGATAAGTAAAATGTACAGATATATGTTACTACATGCATCAACTGCTATGTTTAGTTTCAACTTCTTCTCTCCTCTTATGATAGCTGTAGATATATGCTATCTAAATGTTTAAAACTGGGAAACTGATCCATATATATACAGGATATTTCTCTCTTGTCTGTATAACGCACAGTCAATAACCAAATGACATTCTCATTCAATTTATCTGAATTACAGATTCTTTGTTGTCGAGAAATTTATTAATGTCAGCCTTTAAATATGGAGTTTATAACTTCGCCATTTTGGAGAATTTTTTTCAATGGGAATGAATTTGGCCATAAACATAAAAATACAAAAAAAAAACATAAAGGAACTAGAGAGGCCGACATTTGCTTGGGAGCAAATACAGCATATTTCAGTCCATCTCCCTCCCACGCAAAGGTGGACTATTCCAAACTTACCCCAGTGTAAACTGGTAAAGATTCTCAAATAAATGAACTATATGGTAGCTATGTAATTGAGAACAAAGATGCAAGAACAAGCACATTGAATCTCGAAAGCTTTACTAATCTTATTATAGGTATGCAAATACTAACAATGATGAGATTTGATACATTTTGAAGGTCTTAGGCACATAAAATTGAATGTGTGGGTCATTACGCATGCCTTACGTGCAATGTGACCTCAGGTAACCCGCAATGGAACACGTGTTCCATGGATGGAACGGACCATTCTTTAGATAGAACATGGAACGGGTACAGCACTTTTGGCCCTTTTTTGTTGAAAATAGCCATTAAAGTCCCCCAAATGAGTCATTTGGAAGTGGTGTATACCAAATATGTGACTGCTATTCTGTAGACACATGTTCAAGGTACCCTTATACCGAATTTCAGATCATTTGGTTGTAAAACCAGGGCTCAGGATCCAAAAATCCATTTTTTGGAGAAAAATGCCCCAAAAAACCTTCATAAAAATTTTTCAAAGGCATGTATCAAAAAAATGAAAAAAAAACCCTAGGGGTATTGCCCACTCTACCTCCATGCCAAATTTCAAGTCATTTGGCTGAATGATGGCAGAATTGAATCCCTTTGACTGTTTGGCAGGAGAAGGAGGAGGAGGAGGAGAAGAAGAAGAAGAAACATCAGAGAGCACAGTATATTTCATCCATACCATAGTATGGACTGAAATATAAATAGCAGTAGTGATGACCATCGACCCAGCATCTACGTATGAATATCTGATGAAATATTTCTTTTCTTTCTCTACTTCTTATAAATTCTAAACAGGAAGCAGCTGAAAGATACATCAAAGAATTAGAATACGACTTCAAGCTAGTCTTGTTGCTGGAGCACCTTGACGAGTCTCTGGTTCTCCTCAGACGTCTCATGTGTTGGGAGATGAAAGACGTCGTGTACGACACCGCGCCAAAGAACGTCGTGAATTACTCCTACGAGTCCTACAACGCCACACCAGAGGAGCTGGCCAACCTCCGGAGGTGGAAGGCTGTGGATTACCGTCTGTACGACACGTTTAACAGGTCCTTGTGGAGGAAGATAGCAGGACAGGTAAGGGAACAACAACATACCGGGTTTTGGGGTTTTGTTATTATTGGACTGTATGATGTAATTTAATTTTGGATTACACCACTTTCCGAGTTCTCGATCAATCAATCAATCAATCAATCAATCAATCAATCAAATCAATCAATCAATCAATCAATCAATCAATCAATCAATCAATCAATCAAATCTATCTATCTATCTATCTATCTATCCATCTATCGATTAATCAATCAATCAATCAGTCAATCAATCAATCAATCGATCGATTGATCAATGACACAGTCCAACTCATAAGTCAGCCACCCAAAACGATACTCCCATACCCGGAAGTAATTATGCCTTATTGTCTTTCTCGTGAATCATTTCTCGACCACCCAGGGACCAGATTTCTACCGTGAGCTCCACCACTACCGGGAACTGAAGCAGAACATCAGCTGGTTCTGTCATGGAGAGCAACGCAGGAAACCTAAGCTCACACTCACTGTGAAAACTTCCCAGTGGAGTCCACAGTTTGTCGTTGATGCCAGATATTGCAAGGAGATGGCTACAAGGGTACGTGCAATTTTCATAATTTTGGACTAGGTGCACTTATATGTTACATAAAGATGGTGCAAAAATGGGGGTGCATAACATATGAAGTAAAGTAAAATTTAAACAAAGCATATTTATAAATCTTGAATCTAAAATTCTATTGCTAACTAGTTTTAACCAATGGACAAAAGTAAGGTTTTAATGTGTTCTTTGTGCAGATGGGACTAGGTGAAGGTAAATATCAGGGAATTGCTGTATACTAGTGTACAATAGTTTCTTTACGTACGTTATCTTATACGAATATCTTGGTGCACAGATGCACTAATAGTCAAAATTTAGGTGCACAGCTCCAATTTTAGGTGCACAAATGTACATATGAACGCAGTATTTCCAGCACTGCAGTAAAAACAACAGTTCTTTAATTTTGTACCTTCATAAAAAATGGAGGTAAACATGGTCTGTCTGATTGTTTTTGTGTCTGTCCGTCTGCGTGTATTCTTAACCGCATATTGGTGGAAAGCCTGCATGGATTGTAATGATACTCACAGGAGGTCTTGAAAAGACGAGGGCCGTGGTCAAAGGCCTTCTGGCGGATGTGATACGTACTGCAGCAGACATTTCGGTATAAAAGTAGAATGGTTAAAGCCTCCCGTTTGAATTTGTGGCAGATCTACGGTGGCCAATTGTCAGTGACCAATGTGACAGTGTCTTGTCGTTTGGTTTCAGCTTTGCCACCAAAAGACCTGTTTGGACATTATTTGTTTTACTGTAATACAGAACCACCGCAAATTATTGTTTATTTCACCACAAAAGTTCAGTCCTCGAAAAAATACAAATCAACCTTTCTTCTTTTTCTTTTTGCAGTCATGGGACATGATGAAGGAAATACGACAGAAAGAGTCATTTAAAGTGGACACACGGTGGGAAATCGTCTTGCCGGTTATAAATGTACGTTCAATCATCAACGGACGGCCAACCTTCAAATACAGGATTGAACAGATAAAATATGTGAAAGAATTGCGAAGGAAAATCCCAAAACATAAGACATTTAGGAAGAGAAGAAATCATGGATAGATATATTAGATAAATCGCTACGTCCTAGTCTAGTTTGTCTTTGTTTATATAGATAGATTACCTAGGTTATTACCTCCATGAAAAATGGAGGTATTGTTTTTGGCGCATCTGTCTGTCACTGTGTGTGTGTCTGTGTGTGTGTTTGTGTTTCCGCACATTTGTAGTCAGCATAACTTCATAACGCCTTTATGGATTGTGGTAATATTTGGTATGCTGGTAAGTCTTAGGAAGACGAAGGTCAAGGTCAAATATGGGCCTTCTGGTGGATGACCTTGGTACTGCAACAGAACTTCCGTTTTTTTTATCTTTTGTCCTGAACATGCTATGGTCTTGAATTTTTAGTGACGGATAGATTTTCCTGTCAGGAATAAATGGTGTGGGTTTGGCCCCCCTAGCAGCTTGTTCTGGAACTGCAGGAGACCTTCGGGCGAAATCTTTAAAAGTCAATAAGTCCAGATAGGAACAACGTATTTTCATAATTTTTGGTAGGTAGGTAGCTGAGAGAGAGATGTACATAATTAAATGCAAATTATGCAAATGAAGACTTTATTTGCACAAATAATGAGGAAATTCTATGATTACAGTGTTTTACACTATATAGTACTTTTATACATGTAATGTATGTAACCTATGGCAAACGGAACATCAACAGATACTAATTATGCAAATTATGACCTAATTTGCATAATTAATGCGAAAATTATATGATTTCTTAATGGTGAATGATGGGAATGTCATACTTTGGACATATGTATGTTAATCAAAAGTTCACATCACGATGCATATATTATGCTAATTCAGAGGTCATTTTCATAATTACAGAAGAAATTTACATTTACTTATCAAGCCCATATTTCATTGAGGTATGAGATCTCAGAACTCTTGTTAGTTGTTGAAATTGTTCACCTTGATTGTATGCGATTTAAACTTCATGTATCTACCTTAAGTAGCTTCTTGTCCATTGTCCTTTAGAGCTACGGCCATGGCTATTTAGGCAGCCCTGGTTATGTATTACAGCCGAACCGATACATGTACACAAAGAAAGGTATAAGGAATGTTGTACAAGTTTATATAGCGTATTTCTCTCTTTGGCGGCCAAAGTCTTGCTATAAACGTATATATATTCCGTTACCAAGCTGTTACTTCCTTGATTCTTCCAATTTTCAAACTGTCACACTTCTGCGTTAATAAATTATTTAGAAGTTTTGTATGAAGACTCAGTCAACCGCTTGAAATATCGACGTTTTTCGTTGTGCGTGTATAGCACATCATGCCCGTAGCCAGGATTTTGAATGGGGGGTTCTTCCCACTGCTTGAGGGAACCTCGAGCGCCGGCGCGAGGCTAGGGGGGGTCCGTGGGCTTGTTCCCCGGGAAATTTTGAAAAATGAACCTTCTAAAATGGCATTTCCTGCATTTTTGAGAGGATTTTCAAGAAAAAAAATCAGTGATATATTTTTATTAAATGACAAAGGGAGCAGTTTTTCTACGATTCCAGTCCATCTCTTCAAGAAAAGTCTTGGACCTTTACATAAAATGTGGACCAAAAACTGGATCTTTACATAAAATGTGGACCAAAAAGTGGACCTTTACACAAAATGTGGACCAAAAACTGGATCTTTACATAAAATGTGGACCAAAAAGTGGACCTTTACACAAAATGTGGACCAAAAAGTGGACCTTTACACAAAATGTGGACCAAAAAGTGGACCTTTACACAAAATGTGAACCAAAAAGTGGACCTTTACAAAAAATATGGACCAAAAAGTGGACCTTTGAGGCTTGTTTGGGGGTTCTTCCGTTCTTCCCTAGCGGGAACCAATAGGCGGGCAGCATTTCGGCCACACCCACAACCCGCGCTTTAGCAAGATATGGTTGAAAAAGATGTTTCTCAAACTTGTTCAAAAGATACATTTGTAAATTGTTTTCAGAAATTCTGTGTCTTTGAATAGTTGGAGCAAAATAACTACCGAGCCGAGTTAAACCATTTCGGCACTGGGCTTCTGGTGCTTACGTCGGCCACGCGGCGTACAGAACAATATCTTAGGCCAAGTCTTTATCTGTGAAAATGTAAGAAAAGAGGCCTTGCAGTCCTGTCCTGTCGATAACCTTGTTGTCCCGATTAAACTATGTTACCCAGGCGGTATGATCTCGAAAATATGAGTGGCAGCATGTCGATACCCTTTTTAAAGACAAGGTTTGATTTGCCGATTACGAGTTTCCAGTGCTGAAGCCGCCGACACACCAAGTGTTGACGTACCTTCGGCACTGGAGATCCAGGACGGAAGCCGCCTCACCTCTGTATACCGAGTGCTGAGAAAGGAACCCGTAACTTCGGTACTTGCATTATTTTCACCCCAAATACACCAATTCTTACATTGTTTATCTGACATTTCCAACTCCGATTACCTGCCGCGCCGTACCGAAGAATGCTGTTCAACCCCATTGTCGAATGGAATCGACCGCAAAGTGGGCGTGGCGCGGAATGCTGGTCACCCATTGGTCGCCGCTAGGCTATGTGGATGTGAAATTGATGTAGCCCCCCCCCCCCTCCTGGCTACGGGCATGCATATTAATGATAAATCCAGTACATGCATTCGGAACGTATCATGACTTGTGTATTGTGCCCACGACTGCATATGATTTATGGGACTTTCAACATGGCGGGCGTTCCTACAGGCAGGCGCAAAACTCCCACCGGGTGGCCAGTTGAGCTGGGCGGGGGAAAACTACTTCAGCTCCGAAGAGACTCCACCCAGACCACGATAGACACTGGACTGAGATCCGGCTTGCGATTTCACCCCTGGCTGTAAAGAGAGAATAGCCAGTCCCGCCTATAACAATTGAAACAAGAGTCCGTATGACTCAACTCTCTGTGAAGTAATCATTGTGTTTCAGACTGTAACCTTGCATCAAGGGCGGAACTAGGGAGGTACCCAATGCACGTGGAGGCCTCCCTAAATGCCATTAAGTATTTTCTTCATATTCGCCAAAACGTGCCAGTTGACAGTCAACAGGCGAACGCCCTCTCGTGTCAAATACAACTAGAGACTAGCGGCAATAAATGCTGGGCGTCCGGTAATCTTTGGAGGAATGCGGTTTTGCTTACAGTATGGCGTCCTGATATATCTCTTAGCACAAACCTATCACCATTAATTAACTCCATCAGCCAACGATTGAAATACATTTACACTCAAACATTTATCACTGAAACCCACAATGACCATAACAGAGGTACATCTTCTAGTAACAAGTTACGAACGTACCGTTTGTTTAAAAGTATATATAAAGATGAAGAGTACCTATCGGTCAACAACATACAACACAGGGTAGCTCAATAAACGATTCCCTGATTTATTATTTTTTTTGTTCATATCTAAAAATGTTGATCTTTTCAACTTTACTTCCAAATGCCGCAAAAATTGAAATACTGAGATTTACCAGTACAGAATTATAGGGTTTTCTATGGATTAAGAAAACTGTCTCATTTACATAATTACTGGCTCTTGATATTCCACTCTACTATCACAGACACTCAAACTGAAACATTTGCTTGGACATCTGCTTGGAGGAATGTTTGCTGTGGGGACTGGTCCACATCTCAAAAGCAGAGGTGTATCCTGATGAAATATTGTAATTTACCTCTAAAAACTCCTACGGTCTAAAAACAAACGTAAACTAGAGTTCCTCGATCTCATACCTTCGCCAAATGATGTTAATCTTTATGGCTGACAAATTATTGTGCCATTCTATTGTTTCCTCATAAATTATGCAAATAAGGTCCAGATTTGAATATATTATGTTTAATGATGTTTACCTTCACTGAACTTTCACATACCACATGTATAAAAATTCCAGGCAGTCATCATTACAGAATTATAACATTTTCTCATTAATTATGCAAATTATGTCCTCATATACATAATCAATATCTGCCTGTGTTTCTCTCCTTCTCAATTACCAATCTCACAAGCTTCAATGGTCTTATCATGGAATGCAGCTGGTTTATAGAATCTCCCCATAAATTATGCAAATCACTTCCATATTTGCATAATTGTCATATAATTATATCAAGCATCATGAAAGCTACCTACATACCAAAAATCACGACGATCCGTCAACCGGTTCTTGAGTTATGCTCTTTTTGATATTTTAAAACAGATAGCCCTGCAGTTTCAGAGCAAGCCGCTAGGGGGCGCAAACTGACGTCACTTCTTCCCCAGCACAAGAGCTACCTACCATTTAAATTTCGTCACCCTAGCATGTCTAGATCATGAGATATCAAAACCGGAAGTTCAGCTGCAGTACCATAAGAAGCCGCCAGGGGGCCCAAAATCTAATCAGTTCGAGCTCTCATCAAGACCTACCCACCTACCAAATATCAAGATAATCCATCTAAGCTTTCTTGAGTTATGCTGTTGACAGACAGACAGACAGACAGACACACACACACACACACACACACGGCCATGAAAACATAACCTTCTCCAATTCTTGGCGAAGGTAAAAACAACGTGCACCATCTGGGGCATACTAGCAGACTGCATACCAAACTACACACCAATGCAGCCAGCGGATAGGGAGTTATAGCTGCGGACATTTTTCGCCGGTCCGTCATTCCGCGATACCATATGATCGGAACATCTGCTTGAGAAAACCGCACATGCATAACATCGACGGATACATGGCCTGTACCAACATTTCACCAGAATAGGTATTTCGCAAAATATTACATGACCTATAAAAATCGCTAAGGTATAAAATAACTTGCATCAACTATAGACCATACCAGCAGACAACATACCAAACTAGAGTTCCACGATCTCATACCTTCGCCAAATGATGTTAATCTTTATGACTGACAAATTATACATTAGATTATTCCCCCCCTGATCTAACAAATAGGAACCTAATTTTCATGAATTATATCATTTTATCATAATCTCGACCAAAAGACAGTCTTGTAATAACAAACAATGCATTCTAGTACGTTTGTGAAGATTAATCATCCAGGATAATACTAATAAGAAAAGTTTGAATCTTTACTTCTGGATAAAATAAGAAAATAATGTCAGACGTTTCAGACGCCGTCCGGCA